TCTAGAGTCCCCAGCTGCTCCCTCTCTCCATGTCCCCATCTTTGCCTCCATCTCTGGTGTCTCTGCTTCTCTGGATAAGCTCATGCTCTTCTCCTAGAGTCCTCTGTTGCTGGAATGTAAGATCAACTACTCCCCACTTCATGTTAGAAAACTTCTACCTTTCCAGTTGTGACAGCAGCAATTAGACATGATAACAACTACTCACTATAGAATTATAAGAATCTTATCCCCATCTCCTTTCACCAGACCCATCTAGACAAGATGAAAACTATTTAGTAGGGATTCTACCTTCCCCCGCACACTCTGAAACTCCTTCTTGAAAACTTGTAAGCCCATCACTTTGTGCATTTAAAGCCACCTCATTTTATGTAGCCAATGTCTAAGTTGTCCATCCCTATCAATCCTGTGTACACAAGGGATAGAATTGATCCTTGATATGAATACTCCTTCCCTTTCAGTTGGTATTTTGAGCTACTACATCCATTGTGTGGTGCTGTGGGTTAATGTGGCAGGCTGCAACTGCAGTCAGCAGTTCAAGCTCACTAGTTGCTCCTCAGAAACCCTGTATAGGGTCGCTATGGGTTGGATCCGACTCGACGGCACATAACAACAAAAACAACATCCCTTAAACATCTATTTTTGGTACCCAGTTTTCTTTTATCCTTTTCACATATTTCCATAATATTAAAATTAACAAGCTATCTCAAAGACTGCATACTATTCCATTTTATGTGTCTTCTATGACCTAGAGCTCTGGTAGTATAGTGGTCACATGTCGGGCTGTGAACCTTAAGGTCAGTAGTTCGAATCTATCAACTGTTACGTAGGAGAAAGATGAGGATTTCTGCTCCCATAAAGATTTACAGCCTTGGAAACCCTGTACAGGGTCACTATGAGTCGGTTGCAACTCCACGGCACATAACCACCACCACCACATGACTTAGAATATAGAAGAATATAGCTGCTCCTCAGAAACCCTACACAGGATCACTATGAGTCAGAACCAACTTGATGGCAGTTAGCCACTACAGTAACACTGTGTCTACAAAGAGTATGAGAGTGATTATCCTTGTACGGAATCAGTTTTACACATCTTTGTCCATTTGTGATAAACTTCTAGAAGTGTATGGTCTGATTGGAAATGTAGTCTTCAGGTTTTTCATGTGTATTGCCAGAAAGGCTGCACCAATTTCTATGCAAATATATAATGCAACCATGTTACGGTCCCGTTGCTACACCAAGCAGCCAAAAATGTTTTCAAGCTCAGTAACAGCCTGAAATTGGAGGAGAAAATGCAACTACTTTATATGAAAAAAAAATCTGAAAAATAAATATCCTATTAAAATATATTATCGTAAGGTGCCATGTAGTCAAAGTCAACTGACAGCACTCTCATGTGAGAGAGTAGAACTGCTCCAACGGGTTTTCTAAGAGTCCTGGTGGCCCATGCTTAAGTGCTTCAGTGTTAATCAGGTTAGTAGTTAAAACCATAAGCCTCTACTCAGGAGAAAGGCTCCACAAAGCCTATGGGCTCCTTTACACTCTGCCCTATAGTCTCTGAGTTGGACTCCACTCACCAGCAATGGATTTGGTTTGGCATGAACCTTCTTGATGTGTCCCAGTCCCAATCAGGATGAATAAGAAGGATCCTGCTTGTTATGGATCAAGATCTTGCTTGCAGTTGGGTCATGGGGGCAGACTCAGAGACCAAAACCAAATTTATCTCCAGCCTTGATTCTGCCAGTTATGAAAAAAGACCAATAGCTAAGAGGGATGTGTGCCCAATGCTGTGAGTGTCTGCAATGGATGATCAAAGTTAGCACCCAGCAAATCACCCTATGGGCGAACAGCTATGATTATCTCTCCCTCTAAACATTTACTAACCTGTGCTTGTCCTGGTAGAAGATGCATGATGAATTGGAAAATCAATCTTGAAACATAATAACTATACCACTGTGAGTATGTCTAATTCCCTGGCACAGGTTTAAATGCATTAGAAAGTACACATGACAACCAGTACCCAGGATACATCTTAGGAGACCCCACAAGAGAATTGTTTGTTTTTCATCCATAAAATGCTTCCTGCAAAGTTTTGTTGTAGGGAGATTTCTGTAGGCACGTGTCTTTGAGCCTGAATCAGCTCACAGGGAGGAGAAGCCGATGTAGCAATATCTGGTCCTGCCAGATCCCTGCTTTGCTTCCCATTCCAGTGTTTCTTCTACAAAACATGTGCAGCCTGATTTACCAGAGCTGTCTGGATAGCATCTGACCTCACCTACGAGAAAGGATTTATAGCTTATTGAGCTCAAGCATTTTGATGCAATGCCCAAAAGAGCAGAGAAGTTTTAATAAAGGGATGTTGTACAAATCCATCTGTCAATAGCCAGAACCTTATCCCTAAGCCAGGTCACAAGATTGCTAGAGCAAAGGACTCATTTTCTTCATGTACCTAGAGTTCCTGAAAGTTGAAACAGTTACTGTGCTCCACTAATTAAAATGTTGGAAGTTCAAATCCATCCAGGCACACCATGGAAGAAATACCTGACAATGTACTTTCAAAAAGCAGCTGCCACACACTCAGGGAGTCATCACCATGAGTCAGAACTGACTCGACAGCAGCTGCTGTTTTGTTTTGCTCTACACCTAATGGGATCAGCAGTGTTGGAGATCCCCTGAGCTAAAGAACAAGTCCATGGGGAGCACAGTTGTGCTCACCTACAAACCTAAAGGTTGGCATTCGAGCCCTCCCAGCAGTGCTGCAGAAGAAACGCCTGGCAATCTATTCTCATATAGTTTACAGCCACGAAAACCCCATAGAGCAGTTCTACTTAGATCTCATTGCATCAGAATCTATTCAATAGCAATGGGTTGAGTTTGGTTTGGGGCTGAGGAGAGCCAGTACCTGACATTTTCTGTCTGAAGCCTTGGTTTGCCTGCTTCTGCCTGGGACTCCACACCTGTATGAGACTTGGAGCGTTGGTCACCTTTGCCAGTGCTTCTGTCTCTACTGTCTCCCAGGTAGAAGGGGATATAATTACACCATCCATCTGAGAAATGCGATGGTTCTGGATGATTTGCTCTAAATGTCATTCTTCTTTCTCCCAGTGGCATGTTCAAATCCATCCAGGCACTCAACCTCTCTTAAGTTTCGTCATCTGTAAAAAGGGGATGATAACAACATGAACCTATTCATGGGCCATTGTGAATGCTAAATTAAATTTAAATGATTCAGGTACTTAGTGGATTGTCAGCCTATTTTAAACTTACTGTTCTTGTATGTGCTCTCCAGTCCATGCTGACTGTAGGATAGAGTAGAATTGCCCCCATGGGGTTTCCTAGGCTGTAATCTTTACGTGGGAGTCCTGCTGTGACATATTGGATAAACATTGGTTTATAGCCTTGGACATATAACCACAAGGTCAGCAGTTCAAACCCACCAGCCACTCATTGGAAACGCTATACAGGGTTGCTATGAGTCAGAACAGACTCAATGGCACTTAACAACAACAATCTTTACAGGAGATTTCCAGATCTTTTCTCCCACAGAGCAGCTGATCTTTCTGTTAGCAACCAAGGGCTTAACCATTAAACCACTAGGGTTCCTATGTTAAACCCATTAAGAGTCTTTAATAATAGTCTTAATTCGTTGAAAGCTGAGGGTTTGATGGAGTAGGTGGCATAGAATGTACAACTCAGCAGGGATTTGGCAGGAATCCTAGAAGAGCAAGTACAAGGTCCCCACAGCACAACACACAGGCTACCTCACAGTTCATCTAAGATCAGTTACTGGACCAGGAGTCTCAACAGAAAAGAGATGCTTGACGAAGTGTATATGTCTCAAAACTCAGTTGTCATTAAGATTCTACTTCTCAGTATGTGTCTGATGGAGCAGTAACAGGTGAAAAAAGCCCTCCAGAAGTTGTCCATTAAGTAGTGTCCAACTGGCAGATAAAAGCCACACTCTGATCAGCAAAAATGGGTAAAAACTGGTCTTTTAGGGACTGAACAAACAACTCTCCACCTTTTCAAATGTACCAAGATGGGTAGCCTTGCCCGTGGATTTTCTTCCCTTGATTCAAAAGACCATTAAATTTAAAGGAAATTTTAAGTCATGCGTTTCCAAGAATTTATACTTAGTTCATCAAATCTATTGTTTTGTGAGAATTATTTGAAGTCCACCAAGATTAATGAGCTTTTTTCAAATGTCTTTTAAAATCCTTTTTTCTTAGAAGGGCATTCAGAGGCTTTGAAACTTGTTCCACGGGTAAAAATAATAATATTAATAATAAATTGCTCCAAACACTCAACCCCTGCAGGTTCAAAATTTACTTAATACTCTGAACCCAAAGGATTTGAATTATTACTGGTGTTTATCATCTCTTGTTTATGAGTCTTTTTAGAGGAGAAAAAAATCATATGGAGGTTCACTAGCATTCACTGTGTGATTGGCAGCCGTATCTGGAACCCCAAAGACGTGCAGAATCTCCCCAACCTAAACCTTCAGAGGATGTCTTCCTTACATGGTGGCATCAGTGGGGCCAGATTGGAGTCAGATTGAGGGTGCTTATTTGGGGGCTGGGAGCTCAGAGCCAGACTCCTCGTGGATCGGTTCTCTATGTGCTCTGCCACATAGAATGGGTGATGTATTCCTGGAGAACTGCAGGGTAGAAAGAGAACATTTTTTCCTTGGAGTGTGTGCAAAGGAGCTGACTGCCTCACAGCACATTTGAAACTCCCTCCGTTGTCATCTGAGGACCTCTGCTGGGGGAATGTTTCCCAGCATGTGTGAGCTGGTGTTTCGGAGCCAAGCCATCCAACCAAGTTCCATTTTCCTACATTCCTTTCCCCCTGTTTTGTTGTTCACATTAGGCAAGGAGAGGAATCCATCGTAAACACCCAGAATAAAGTGGGGCAAATGCGGGTGCAGACTGTCATCTCACAGAAGTTGTCTGGTGCCTTCTCTTCCAGTGAACCTCTGAGACATTTCCGGTAGAAAGAGAAGGGCGCCAACATGAAGGAAAATGTGGCATCCACAGGTGTTTTCATTCTGCTACTTTTTCTCAACACCGATCTCCTAAATGGTAAGAAGAGATTGTCCTGCTCTCTTTAACTGTCTGAATGTTTATGGAGAGGAGGAAGAATCCATCACAGCCCTCTTGCAATGCAGTTAGAAGAAAAGGAAACGCTTGTGTCCTTTGCTATTAAATTATTTGCAATGTTTTGAGTACTTGCAAAATCTTGTAACTGGGCTCTGAATTCCACCTTCACTCAGAGAACAGAGTGAAACAGCTCTGAGAATGATGAGACCTAAATTCTGGTCCCCAACTGCCTAAACTCTCCAGGTTTCCACATTTGTTAAGTGAAGACAGTGATGCTTCCTTCACCCCAATATAATTTGATATAATGAAATAATATGAAAAAGCTTTTTAAAAAACTAAAGTTTTTTTACAGGTTGCTGTTATATGGTGGGAAACAGGTAGGGCTAAGTTTTAACTATTTGTAGTAATCAAGTAAATGAAGTCAACAGCGAAAGTACTGTGTGTGTGCTTGTACCTGTGTGTATTAACTTCTGTAAGCACCTGAGTGTAAATGCCTCTGTTAAATATCTCTACCTGTATGCGTGCATACTTACCTGTATATATGTGTTAACTTGTCTGTGTGTGTACTTCTATGTGTGTATGCCTGTATTTTTCTGTGTGGGTGCTTCGGATATGGCTCTGGGCTCTGTGGGTATGTGTCTACCTGTGCATATGTGTGTTACCTGTGTTCTTTTCTCTATCTTCCTATGCATTTTATGGAACAGTGAGACATTTCATTAGCGTTAACTTGTCTCCTCTAAACTGAGTGAAAGGAACATTTGACTAATTTTAATTTCACATCTGTACCCTTTCCTTAGGGGTTTTCAAAAGGCACTAATAATAACCAATGATGTGTGAAAGAGGTAAGTTTTCAGAGAGAGGTAAAAAGGCAGGCAGGGGTCAGTAGAATCCATAAGAAAAACTCCAAAGTACATTACTCAAATCAAGAGCTACTCTAATTGGCTTTTGAGTAGACTAGTTATTGTATCACAGCTGTTTGTTGTTTAATAAGTGTGGTTTTTTATACCTCACACACTCTTCCCCACTTAGGAAAAAAAACCACTACGAATTTTGCCATGACTCCCAACACTTCTTCATCCTGTGAAATTATCCTGAAAAAAATTTCCCTACAGAACAAGCAATGTTGTAAATATTAGCCAAGCTGGCACCACCAAGCTGTTTTCTGAATGGTTGTCAGCTGGGCTGTGAGCTGGAGTCCAGCCCAGCTGTAACTCTTACCATCAGCCTGGTGTCCTCAGCCACAAGACCATGGATACTTCATGCCACTCCATTAAATTCTCCTTTCTAGCCATTCTTGCCTAGTGCCTCTCTTCTCACCTTTGATCCCCTCACTGAAGTCTCATCCAAACTTGCTCTTTCTAACCTGGTGCTCAGCAAGAAGTTCTAGCATAAGAGCCAGCATGGAGGGTTGAGTGTGGGAGAAAACAGAGAGCACTCCGTGGGTCGCTGAGACCAACATCCAAAAGCTTTCCCTTCTGCTCCTAAAACGGAAGGGCATCCAGCTAGGCCAAAAGGCATGTTTAGAGAGGTTTACAGATGGGTGGGGTTGACCTTCTCCAGCCTAGCAGCATCAGGGCAAATACCAGCATTCCTGGTTCCTGCTTTGGATGTGATGGCCCAATAGAGAAGAGGAAACCAGGTTACCAGGTCAAGAGCTTTGGGGATTAGGCAACTAAAATATTCTATCCCCTTGACACTGTATTTTACATATCACCTCATTCAGACCCTCTAGCTTCCAACTCTAATAACAAAAAGAGGAGCTACCCACTCTCCTACCTCTTACAATGACACCTACTCAAAAAGCATTACGAGAAGGCCTTCAGCACCTCACCACAAAATAACCCAAAGACAAAAGGGTGAAGATATAATGAAAAAGGAACTAAAAGTCAAGTTTGAGATATGGGGCAGATAGGATGGATAAATTGCCAGAGAGACTGGGTCATGTGGTCAAAACTGAATGAACACAAGGAAAAGTGAAGGGAAGAGGAAAAAAGAGAGGTTGTAGAGGACAGAGAAAGAAAACAGCTGAGGGACAGTCCCAAATAGAGGATGCATCAGTGATATGGTAGGAAACATACAGGGACAGAGGTTGAGTTAATTGTGTGGAAATGGAAGAAAGATGGAAGTTCATGAGCAGAATGGCTAAATGCCTAATAGCAGTGTATTGACTAAGTGTCCACAGGATGCTTGTATCTGGGAAGAATTATTTTTTATGATCACCTGTGTGCTGTGGGCAGGTATCAGCTTTATAGATTCCCTGGCATTGCAGAAGGGCTCATACACTTCAGTTGGGATGTATCCATCTCACTCTTAATATGATTGATTTGTTGATATTTTATAAGTAATCATTGACCCTTACATAGGTGCTTGATATCCCCATCTTGAAGTACTCCTTCACCCCCATATATTTATAAATCCCAAAGTTCCTACCTGGAAATCCTACCAACATCGTGGAGCCCCCAGAGGGATGTTGCAGTATATTGATGTTTTGGCACTTCTGAGCACCCCACATCTGGGGTTCCTCATTCCAAGGCTCTGCCGTTGACCTGAGTCCCATCAGCCTGCTTTTGGTCACCAGCAAAGTGTTTGAATGGTTGGATGGACCTTAATATTGACTCCATTGGCTTCTGGCTTTGTCTAGGACAGTCACCTCCAGGAAAACCTGAGATTTTGAAATGTCGTTCTCCTGAAAAAGAAACTTTCACTTGCTGGTGGAAGCCTGGGACTGATGGAGGACTTCCTACCAATTACACTTTGACTTACCACAAGGAAGGGTAAGATGCTCTCTGTCCTGTCAGATTCTACAAGAGTGTTCTCACGTGCCAGGCTAATATGACATGGGTCCTAAGTTAGACTTAGCAGTGCCTCCCCTGGATTTACACAAATGCTCATATCGTTGGAGAAGGAGGGAGTGTGCGGTTTACAACCACAGTCTCCTGCTCCATCCTTGAGGAGCTGTCTCAATTCAAAGACACCTATCAGCCGCAGCAGCTTGGCGATCGTAACAATGTGCTAAATGTCATAACTGTCACAAATATAGGTTACAGCCCAAAGCTACATATCAAAGCTTCCAAATTGGTTGTTGTTGTTAGGTGCCATTGAGTCGGTACCAACCCATAGCGACCCAAACTGGGAGATGATTAATGCTTATCAAAAACTTGATGTCACCTGCTGTTTTGTTTGTTTGTTTGTTTTTTGTCGTGTGTTACTTTTGTGACAGTACAGTTCGTGGTTGCCGTCAAGTCACTTCAGACTCATGGTGACCCCGTGTGTTTCAGAGTCGTGCTCCTCTCTACAGAGTTTTCAATGGATGCGATCTAGCGTAGTGGTTACGAATCGGGCTGCGAACCATAAGGTCAGCAGTTCGAAACTATCAGCTGTTCCGTGGCAGAAAGATGAGGCTTTCTGCTCCCTTAAAGATTTATAGCCTCGGAAACCCTGTAAGGGTCGCTATGAGTTGGAACCGACTCCATGGCACATAACCACCACCACCACCAAGCTCAGAAGCAGACCATCAGGCCATTCTTTCAAGGCACCACTGGGTGAATTTGAACTGCCAAACTTTTGGTTAGTGAACACACGCTCAACCATTTTTGCCACTCAGGAACTTTATATTTAAGAAAAAAAAAAAAAAACAACCACCTTTCTGTGGAGTCTATCAAATTCCTGGTGTATTAGCACCATCGTATTTTCAATGACTGATTTTACAGAAGATTGCCAGGCATTTCTTCTGATACACTTCTGGGTGGACTTGAACCTCCAGACTTTTAGTTCTCAAACAAGCACATTAGCTGTTTGTACCTTATATACAACAGTACTATGGCATGTTAACCTTTCTTTCATATCCAAGGAAAGAAAGAACCCTATTTTATTTTGTTCTTTAAAAAAGAAAAATGATGATTTTGCTTAGGTAATTGTTGCTCCAACACCAGTGATTTCCTAGAGAACATATTTGGAGGTCAAGTTGTTGCCAGAGACAAATGAGGTGGTCTTGAGTATTTTGTTGCATTCACAACGGCACCCTTCTGGAATCCTGGGAATGCTGCATCCTTCCCTAACATACAGAACATGATGGAGAGAGCTGGTCCACTTGCCAAGGAAAACATTTTGTTGTACACAAAGCTGCCCTCTCACCTAGGATGCGAACACATGGCGTGTAAACAGGTTTCAGGAACTCAGACTGGCAGCCAGAACCCAGTACTCCTCAGTGCCTGTGCAGTATGTTGTGAATTGAGGCTCTGAAGTCTACAGATGAGAAGCTTCATGAGCCACTTGGGCCTGAAATTGTTCCTTTGAAAATCATTTCACTCTTGCTGACTTGGTGTAGTCTGAAATAAACAAATATCAGTTTTTCTCCCCTTGAATCTATTTACAGTTTTAACAAAGATATGTGATTCAATACCCATGTTCAGGTAATACTGCCTTGTTTATTACCCCACTGTGTATGTGTGCAGGTTAAAGTCCACACTGAAGCAGATGACCCAGTAGTGATCCCTGGGTAGGACAATTAAACACGTGAAATCTCATGTGGTTACTGGCACATGTCACAAAGTCCAAAAACTTCCTAGAAGGCAAGAGCTAGTAAGCAGCAGACTGTTTGTCTCCAAAATAACCCCTTCACCTCTAGAACCTACCAGCCTCTTTGCCTGGCTCCCTACCCCAGCATTCCATCCCATCCCTCACTCCCCACTGGAAAGGGCAGTGAGCAAAAGCTTGGTTTGTGCACTGAGAATACCTGGTCTTTGTTTTCCTTTCTTATTCACTCTTAATATATATAACTCATTACAGAGAGACACTCACCCATGAATGTCCAGACTACAAAACCGGCGGCCCCAACTCCTGTTACTTTAACAAGAAGCACACCTCCATGTGGACATTATATGTCATCACAATAAACGCCACTAACCGGATGGGAAGCAGCGCCTCGGATCCACGCTACGTGGATGTGGCTTACATAGGTAAGGGGAAGGGGATGTATTAGGAATTTGTGACTCCATTATTTATATGTTGCTGTTGTTAAGTGCCATCGAGTTGGTTCTGACCCATAGCAACTCTGTATGGGGTTTCCAAGAAGTGGCTGGTGAGCTTGAACTGCTGACTGTGAGGTTCAAACAACTTTGCAATCCAGCACATTGACCCATAGTGCTACACCAGGACTCCATTATTTATTTACCAGGAGTCAAATTCAGTGTGAGTCTTCCAAGCTTTTGGATGGATTCTCAAAAGAAAGATGAGAAAATTACAATATTTACAGTGTCAACTGAATATTTTAAGCCAATTTTCTTTGAGTTATAATTCATTTCAGTAAAACTGATCCTAGGGATCCTTGTTTTCTTCTGCGCCCCCTTAGCACTCATTTCCATTCTTTTCTACCCAGCAGAAATGTTCTTTTCATGCTTTACTTGTCAATCATTTTCTCTTTCCATGGCAAGCTAGAATTTCTTCTCTCTCTGTCTCCATGGAAAACAGAGTTGCAACTTATCGAAAGGGATCACTTGGTTCTGGACCCACAGGACTAGCTCCAATTAGTTTGCCCAAAATTCAGTGCTGCTTCTAACCAACTTAATCTATTATTTCACAAAGAATTGAGGAACAAATAGTGTTATTTAAGAAATAGGCTGAAGGTGAATATCACAAGTACAATGTTGTTGTTGTTAGGTGCTGTGCTGTTGAGTCAGTTCTGTGTATAGTTTCTGAGGAGTGGCTGGTAAGTTTGAACCACCGACCTTGTGATTCAAATGACTTTGCAGTCCAGTTCATTAACCCACAGTGCCACACCAGGACTCCAAGTACAATGTTAGGAAAAGGCATTTCTAAAGTAAAACAAAGATCATCTAAGAAATATGTCGTGATTTGCATGAAAAATATTGAATTGAAGGTAAACACAACAGAACTGTAATGGCCTATTTAGCTTAGCAGGAATGACAAAAGGGAATCCTAGAGCAAGAGCTTCACCAATCCTCTGTCAGTTTGTCCTACTGCAGTGGCCTTTGATACAGAAGTTATGCCACCACTGCCATTTCAAATGCCAACAGCATAACACATGGTGAATATGTTTCAGTGGAGCGTGTAGATTAAGACAGACTAGGAAAAGGGACCAGGAGATCTACTTCTGAAAAAAGTTGGTCGGTGAGAAGCTTATGTGTAGCAGTGGAACCCTATATGATATACTTAGTGCCAGATGATGAGCCCCTCTGGTTGGTTGTTGTTGTTGTTGTCAGTGCCATCAAGTCAGTTCCGACCCATAGTGACCTGATATAGGGTCTCCAAGGAACAACTGGGGAGCTTGAACCATGACCGTGTGGCTCAAACAACTTTGCTGTCCAGCACATTAGCCCACAGAGCTACACCGGTTGGTAGGTCCTCAAAATACTACTAGAGAAGAGCTGTCTCCTCAAAGAAGATATGACTTTAATTATTTGGATAGAGTAAAGCTCTCAGGACTTATATTTGCTAAATAGGCATAACTCAAGAAGAGAAGAAACAGCTATAGATATCCATTAATAATAGAAAAAAGTAATGTGAAAAGTATGAATCTTGGAAAATTGGAAGTTGTCACAAATGAAATGGAAAGCTTTAAAATAGGTATCCTGGACATTAATGAGCTGAAATGGACGGTAGTGACCATTTTAGATCAGAAAAGCATATAGTTTGCTATTCGGGGCATGACAAATTGAAGAGAAACAGTATTGAAAAGGACATTTCAAATGTGGAAGCCATAAAATACCAAACTTACTTGTTGGATGGAGACTATTGAAACCCTGAGAGTATGGCTCTCAGTGACCCTTCAGTTCGGAACTAAACTTGCCCCAAGGCTCAAATTTCAGCCAAACAATAGACAAGCCTTGTAAGATGAATGGAGTCCTGGTGTGGCACTGTGAACAATAACATTAGTGAGGTACAAACACTTTTAAAGACTCAACTATTGGAGAACAAAAGGGCAGCATTTACCTAAAGACAAAGTTCAGAAGGGTTAGGAAAGAAGGAGGAATGGAAACAAGAAACTCAGAGAGGAAGTCATGTTATAATAAGGGGGTTGCAATCAATGACATGAAATGTTGATGAATTGTTGAATGTAAAACTTATGATCTACTCTATAAACCTGGGGGAGAAAATAAACAGGCTTGTGCTATGGGTTAATGCGCCAGACTTCAAAGCCATTTGACCTGCAAAGTCAGTGGTTCAAGCTCATCAGCTGCTCCTTGGAAACCCTATACAGGGTCACTATGGGTCAGAATCAACTCAACAACACTTACCAACAACCAGCATCCTGAAGTATTGAAGTTGTCAAGGACTTCATTCTTCTTGGATCAACTATCAACACTCATGGAAGCAGCAGTCAAGAGATCAAATGACGTATTACATTGAGCAAATATGCTGCACAAGACCTTTTGAAAGTGCTGAAGAGCAAAGATGTCAGCTTGAGGACTAAGGTGCACCTGACCCAAGCCATGGTGTTTTCAATAACCTCATATGCGTGCAAAAGCTGGACAGTGAATAAGGAAGACTATAGAAGAATTGATGCTTTTGAGTTATGGTGTTGGAGGAGAATATTAAAAGTGCCATGGGCTGCCAAAAGAACCAACAGATCTGTGTTGGCAGAAGTGCAGCCAGAGTGCTACTTGAAGGCCAAGATGGCCAAACTTCGTTTCTCATACTTGGGACATATTGTCAGGAGGGATCAGTCACTGAAGAAGGATATTATGCTTGGTAAGGTGGACGGTCAGAGAAAAAGAGGAAGGCCCCCAATGAGATGGATTGGCAAAGTGACAGCATCAGTGGACTCAAGCATGGCAATGATAGTGAGGTTGGCCCAGGGTCGGGCAGTGTTTCATTCTGCTGTGCATATGGTTGCTATGAGTCGGTACCAATTCAATGGCACCTAACAACAACAAATCCTAATATATGATAGGAAAATATTCATACACCTTGAAGGAAGACCAGTTAATACCATTATTATTGAAAAGTACACACCAACCACTAATGTTAAAGATGAAATACTGAAGATTTTACAAACTTCTGAAGTCTGATATTGATCAAACATTCAGTCAAGATTTATTCAGAATTACTGGTGATTGGAATGTGAGAGTTGGAAACAAAGCAGGGTAAACAGTTGGAAAGTATGGCTTTGGAAAGATGACACTGAAGATCCAGTGGTAGAATTCTGCAAAACCAACAACTTACTCCTTGCAACCTCTGTTCAGCAACATAGGCTCTGGTATTGTGTTGTAGGGTAAGCAATAGACTGCTAACTGCAAGGTAAGTAGTTGTACCCCACCAACCACTCCTCAGAAACCTTGTACAGGACTTCTCTGAGTCAGAATTGCATTGATAGCACTTAACAACAACAACACATGGACTTTGCCAAATGGAATATTTGTTGTTGTTGTGTGCTGTGGAGTCAGTTCCAACTCATAGCGACCCTGTACAGGGTTTCCGAGGTTGTAAATCTTTACAGGAGCAGAACGCCTCATCTTTCTCCCACGGAACAGCTGGTAGTTTCAAACTGCTGACCTTGCGGCTCGCAGCCCGATTCATAACCACTACGAGAAATCAAAATGACTACATCTGTGCAAAAAGCTGATGGCAAAACTAGATATCATCAGTCAGAACAAGGTCAGGGACCAACTGCAAAACAAACCACCAATTGCTTATATGCAAGTTCAAGTTCAAATTGAAGAAAATTGCAACAAGTCCATGAAAGCCAAAGTATGACCTTGAGTATATCGCACCTGAATTTAGAGACTGTGTCAAGAAAACTAACAGCCAGACACTAGATGAGTAGGGGGATGAAATCAAAGTCGTCATCATACATAAAGAAAGCAAAATGACATTAAAAAGGCAAGAAAAAAAATAAAAGACCAAAGTGGATGTCAGAAGAGACTTGAAACTTGCTCTTGAACATAGAGTACCAAAGGGGAACAGAACAGATGATTAAGTAAAAGCTGAACAGAAGATTTTAAAGTGCAGTTCAAGAAGATAAAAGGTGGAGAGACCTGAAGTTAGAAAATCAAAAGATAGAAACATAATCAGTATTTCTCAAATTGAAAAGAACTGAAGGAAAAATTCAAGACTTCAGGATGTGATACTGAGGGATTCTATAGGCAATATGGAGTCCCAGTGTAGCGCTGTGGATTAATGCACTGGACTGCAAATTTGGTTTGAACTGTAAGGTCAGCAGTTGAAGCTCACAGCCACTCCTCAGAAACCCTATACAGAGTCGCTATGAGTCAGAACTGACTCGTCGGCACTTAACAACAACAAAATGGGCAATATATTGAACAACTCAGGAGGCACAAATTAAGATGGAAGGAATACACAGAGTCATTGAACCAAAAAGAATTGGTTGATGCTCAACCATTTAAGGATATGCAAATCTTGGCTGTAACCACTTATGAAAGGACTTAGATGACATTACATGATGAAAGAAATATCTATGTGTAATCTGTCCATGAGCAATAGCTGTGTTTTTAGAAGAGTTCAGCATAAAGAAATTATTACAGTAAATTACAGGCATTATGAAATTCTACCCTTAAATACTTCAGCATACACCTTTAAATATATATATATATATATATTGTCTAACAGCCAAAAAATAGTAGTATCACAATAGAAAAATACAATGTTAATTCCTTAATATCATCTAATTGTTGTTGTTAAATGTGTAGAATATGAAGTACAATTTGTGATAGAAAATGATAAAACCAAATAAAGGACGCACGCAATGAATGCTACTAAAATCTCTTTCTTATCTACAGTTGAGCCTGACCCTCCTGTGAACCTGACTTTAGAAGTAAAGCAGCCAGAAGACAGAAAGTCATATCTATGGATAAAATGGCTTCCACCTACACTGGTTGACGTAAGGTCTGGTTGGCTAACCCTCCTCTATGAAATTCGATTAAAACCTGAAAAAGCAGTCGAGTGGGAGGTGAGTTAACTACAAGCTTGTGGAAGGAAGCATGTCTTTCATCAGAGATAAACCTTCACAACTGAAAATAGATCATTCCTCCTAATTGTTGAGCCCCATGCTGGCTTCACAGTACTGATGTGGCTTCCCCAGGTGTGGAAGTGCCTCCTCCCACTGCTGGGATCGATGGATACAATCATTTCCACAGTTCTCCCAGAATCCATTTCTTATACAGCATACTGTCTTCTACCAGGCCCTAATCTGCTTCCCTCAGCAAATCTTGGCTCTAACCACCTATGAAAGGACTTAGATGACATTACATGATGAAAGAACTATCTATGTGTAATCTGTCCAGGATCAATAGCTGTGTTTTTACAACAGTTCAGCATAAATTAATTATTACAGTAAATTACAGGCATTATGAAATTCTACCCTTAAATATTTTAGCCTACACATTAAAAAAAAAAAAAAAAAAAAAAAGAATATTGTCTAACAGCCAAAAAAATAGTATCACAATAGGAAAATACAATGTTAATTCCTTAATATCATCTAATTTTTGTTGTTGTTAAATGATGTTTAGTTCATCCCAACTCACAGCAACCTTGTATAGGGTTTCTGAAGATCGGCTGGTGCCTTTGAACCATCAACCTTGCAGTTCAAACCAACCTGTGATCAAATGCTTATCCTACAGCACCACACTAGGACCCTAGTACCATCAACCAGCCAATCCATATTCTAAGTCATTCAAGTACTTCAAAAATACCCTTGACAATTAGCTTTTCCAAACCAGAATTTCAGTACCACACATTGGGGCATGTAAAATCCCTTTTATCCCAACTCACTCTAAAAACTGGGCCTATTGTCTCATAGAATGTTCTGCCTTCTAGATTTATCTCATTAGTTTGTAGTATCATTTAGCTAATTTCTCTACCTCCTATATTGTCTGTGACTGGTTAGATTCAGGCTGAATAATTTGGGGCAAGGATATGAGGAGGCTTCAAAAAGTTCATGGAAAAATTCCATTATATTATAATTCCGTATTTCCATGAACTTTTTGAAGCCCCCTCATACTTCAGAGGTGATATTATATACTCCATTTTACATCTAATCAGGAGATTCAGTATCTGTTAATACTGATTAATGATGATAAAACTAACTGTTGGATCCAGATAACAACTTGATCCCGTGATTGTCTAATCTCATTGTAGTAGTGGTACTGTGGGTTAATGCGCCAGACTGTAAAGCCATTTGAACTGCAAGGTCAGTGGTTCAAGCTCACCAGCCACTCCTCAGAAACCCTATACAGGGTCACTATGGGTCAGAACCAACTGATGGCACTTAACAACAACATAGTATTACTTCAGCAAACATGAATGCCTAGTCCCCTTCCATTTAATGGCTTTAATACCAACTAATAATTCTTGCATAAACAATTTTCAAAGTTATTATTTTTATTTTATAGAAGACTGGTTTCTTCCATAAAAGTATACTTTTTGGGGGGATATATGTCTGTGTGAAATAGAGTTCCAAATGAAGAGACAGAAAACCTGTTAAGTTTCTATGAGAGCAATTTAAAGAGGAGAAAGAAATGTGTTTGAGATTGTGGAATGGTGAGAACCAAGTATTTGCTAAGTCTGACTCATTAGTCTGACGCCTCTGAGAGTTTACTATTAAGAGAAAAAGTCTCTTGTCTTCATGGTTAAAATCAGAAGTAACATCTACATTCCGTTTGCCTCCTTAGACCCATTTTGCTGGGCAGCAGACCCAGTTTAAGATCCTCAGCTTATATCCAGGACAGAAATACCTTGTCCAGGTTCGTTGCAAGCCAGACCATGGATTCTGGAGTGAGTGGAGCCCAGAAAGTTCCACTGAGATACCCAGTGGTGAGTGCCTTGACCACCTTTTGCTTATCCTTCTAAATGTTTTAAATCAGAATAGTTAGTAAGTTTGTCTGAAGTAACCTACTAATGAAAAAACTGCTTTGTGCCTTAACCAGAACAAGCAGAAATAATAGGTTTATCATCTCTCTGCTGACTACAAAGAGACTTGGAAGGGTAACACTGCTTACTGGGCCAGGGACTATGAAAACCAGCTGCTAGGATAAGGCTGAAGACCTGGTATTGACATGTCTCAAAACCTTGATGGCCACTTACATTCTGCCCACTTCACCCTCCCCACCCCTATCATTTGGCGGGTCTGGCCAAAAGCATCACCTTGTTCTCCTCAAATGTATTAGGTGGTATCCCTTCACAAGGTCTTAACTGAGTTTTTCATTTCATAGACATGTGGGTCTCTCTGTCATATGTTGAACACAGCATATATTAAGCACTTAATTCTAATGCAGTGTCATTAAATATGCTAACTTGTATTACACACACAGGAGTAGTCATTCATCCTGCATCTCTATAGATTTTTGCGATTCATAAAGCTCTCATTTGGTTCCTCCCCACCCATGCACCCCAGTGTTCAGAGAGAATGTAATTACCATTAGAAATGAAAAGCAAGGTAACTGAAACTGAGTGAAGTTAGGAGTCTTACCCAGAATCACAATGCAAAGTGTAGCTCTTCTTACAACTTGCCTGGACTAAGTAGTAGTGCATTCATTGGCTTTCTCTACAGGGAAAAAACCACAGAGATGTGTGTCGTAGACTTACACATGAATCTAGACCAATGCTGGCTCTTCCTAAGTAAAGGAGCAAGCTCTGGAGGCAGACTGGTGTTGTCGCATGCCACTGAGTCAATTCCAGCTTGGAGCAATCCTATGAAACAGAGCAGTAGTATCCCTCAGGCTTCCAAGGAACAGATTTCCAGGTCTTGTCACCCATGGATGGATTCACAGGGCGGATTCAAACAACTGACCTTTCACCTAACTGCCCAGCACTTAACCTGGTACCAGTATGCAATAGTTCAAGCAGACTGCCTGGCTTCAAATCCCAGACTGAAACTCTCTAGTTACATTACTCTTTGAAGCTCCATTTCTTCACATATAAAATAAGACAATACACTCAAAAGGCTGGACACTATTTCTAGATTTTAGTAAGAACTCAATAAATGTTAGCTTTCATTATTATTGTTGCAACTGACTGTGATTTTGAGTTGCCCCAAAGGATCAAATCAAATAATACATGAAAGGATTGTCATATATGTAGAGTATCATATAATATATCAAATATTCTAGAATATTAATACTACTGGGGAATAATCCTTTTATTAGTGTTGTTGGATTGTTGTTCAAATGAAAAGAGGTGTAGGCAGGGATGGACTTGAGTTCAGAAGTTTCGTTCATTGTATTTGTTTTTAATAACACTGTGTGTGATCAAAGCATTCTGGCTGCTTGTTTTTTAGATTTCACCATGAAAGATATAACCGTGTGGATCTTTGTGGCTGTTCTTTCTGCTGTTGTTTGTTTGATTATAGTCTGGGCAGTGACTCTGAAAGGATACAGGTACTTCACCATCTCTCAACCCCCCTCAAAATCATGATTGTCAAGGATAATGGCCAAAAAGATAATACAAAGATGATAGAAACCTACAGAGAATCTAAGCACCTCATTTTCGCCATTAGTCAGAGCATGTTCATCCATAAAATCTTTATCAGTGCTAGCAAAAACAGAAAATGGATTTGTTTGAGGCTGACACTGTCTCCATCAAATGAAAGCCTACAGTTGTACAATAGTAAAAAGCTGGCAAGAGCAGCTAAAAGGAAGGACAGCAAAGATCTAACTAATCTACTAAATTCAGAATCAACTTCCTAAATTAGCAAAGGCCATTCTTCTTTGTTGTCAGTTGCTGTGGAGTCGATGCTGATTCATGGTGGACCCCAGGCATGTGGAGTAGAGCTACTCCATAGAGTTTTCAAAGCTGTCAAGTCGGTTCTGTCAAATGATCTTGGATAGGGTTTCCCAAGGCTTTAAGGAAGTCTCATCTTCTTCCCACGGAGTGGCTGGTGGGCTTGAATGCTGACCCTGTAGTTCACAATCCAATGCTTATTCTATGGAGCCACCATGCTCCCCCTTAGGCTAGTAGTCATGGGCTTAATCATGTGTGCCACTCAGGGACTTTCCATAAGACTCCATAACTATTGTCTTCTCAGTTGATCGTTCATTTCAGGTACCCACAGAACACTTCACCCCCAAGTACCGTAACCTCATGTAGCAGATAAATGGGGATAATACTAATCTTTCAAAAATTACCAATATGATAGGATGAATGTAAAGCTGATGTTCTCCCATGTAAACTATCACCCAATTTACAATAAAAACTTAAAAAAAAAAAAAAAAAAAAATGGAGGCAGAGATGACGAGATGAGGAAATGGAGACAGAGAGCTGCTGAGGACTCTAGACTTGGCAAGAAAAAGACAGGCCAGGAGGCAGGCTTATAGAATGAGCCCTTTGGCTTTGAAATTATTATTTATTTCTGAGTGTTTTGGGGTACATCCCCCCACCAAAAAAAAAAAAAACAGAGGGAATTGAAGCAAATACTGTTGGATGATGATGCGTGGAGGAAATTGTAATCATTGCAATGAAATGAGTGTAAAACCGATGTTCTCCCATGTAAACTATCACTCAATTCACAATAAAAAAATTTAAAAAAAAATTTTTTTAATTACCAAGGGGAAGATGAGTCATTTATATAGAATCTCATACATTCTTTTATAGTATGATGACCTGCATCCTCCCACCAGTTCCTGGGCCAAAAATAAAAGGATTTGATACTCATCTGCTGGAGGTAAGTGCCAAATGTGGTCCTAGTGGGACTCACTGCTTTCTAACTCTTCATTTGCACATGCTCATACCATCCCTGTTAATTCAGCCTGGCCTGCTCATCTCAGTGGTTCTTCCTCAGTTTCATTCCTCTTCAGTAAATGTGTGACCAGAGAGAGGAGTGACTGAGTAACAGGAATGTAGTGTTCATATTTCTGCTGGGAGACTGTCTGGCACGTATGTGTGTGCACGAGTGCATGTCTGTGTGTGCACACGCAATGTGTTCATGAGTGCAAGTGTGCATGTAGTTAGTGCAATGAAAGGAAGAGGAAGTGGTGAGCCCTTGTAAAGTACATTAAGAATCAGGCACAAACTGTCAGAGGGCAAGGCAAGAAAGCCAAGGAAATCTGAGAGCATGTAGACTAGATTCGCTAGGTTTGCACATAAGCACAGAAAGAAATAGTTGTACAAATCACCAATTTAGGAAGAGGATAGATATTTCAAGGAGTCCAACGCAGGGACTCACCACCACCTCCATTGTAAATCAGTAAAAGCTTCCACTTGAAGGTTCCTTAAAGAAGGTTATAGTAACACACTATCCGACTCTAACTGTTGCTCAGTTTAATCACACAATTGAGATGAAATCAGTACTTTGAGGGTCATTGTTTTCCAGACCATTTAGGTTGATTCAAGAGGAAATGAAATGTGTTTTAAGTGAAAAGAGGCAGAGAACATTTTTCATTTATCTCTAGATGTTTTCAACGTGACACTGATGTTTATGAAATCAATACCTAAAACAGGTGCTATGAGGCAGCACAGGGATGTGAGCAATGAGCCCCAAAGGATGTGTCTGAGCGGAGATGAGTCAGGTTGCACATGTTAGAGCTGGGACTAGAGCACAGACATTAGAGCTCCTGGTCCCATGCGCTAACACTGACCTTTATAGAGCAGTATGAACGTCTCAGCTAAGATAACTGCTGCCAGATTTGCAACTTGATATACCTACAGAGACTTAATGATAAAATAGCTTCTTAAATGATAAAGATAGTTTCTTAGTATTGCTATAATGAAAAAGATCACAAGTGGGTAGCTTTGAAGAACAAGAATTTATTTTCTCATAGTTCAGGAAGTCACAAGTCCAAATGTAGGGCAGGGCTCTAGGGAGAGTTCCCTCCTTATCACTAGGCCTAGAAAGAGGAAATGGAGGAGGAGAGAAAATGAGGGCTAAGAGGAATGAGGAGGAAAGAAAGGGAGCAAGAAAAGGATGTGGAGAGAGGAAAAGGAGGAGAAAGAGAAGAGAACTGCAGTAGAAAGAAGAGATGAGAATCAACTTCCTATTGTTAGGTTCTAGGAAATGCTGGAGTTGGTTAGGCCGCCAGCAGCCACCCTGCCAGTGACCCAATGTGCCAAATGCATTCACAGGCATGGTGGTTTTAGATTTTTCACAGACTTTTAAAATGTATTCAATTGTTGTTGTTCTTAAGTGCAAGTTGCATGTTTATTTAACTGTTTTTAATAGTTGTCCATTAAACTAATGGTTATTATTGCTTAGAGAGAGACTAGGTTAAAATTGCTGCTGTTGCTGATTCCGACTCATAGTGGCCCTGTATAGGATTTCCAAGGAATGACTGGTGGGTTTGAACTGCTTACCTTGTGGTTATCAGTCCGGTGCTTATCCTACAGTACCACACCAGGTCTACTAGGTTAAAATTATAAGCTACTTTTTTTTTTAACTATTGTTGTGTGCTATTGACTCCAGCTCATAGGGACTCCATTGACAAAGTAGAACTGCCCCCATAGGGTTTCCTAGACTGAATTTTATGGGAGGAGATCACCAGGTCTCCAGGAAGTGATAATAGATGGTCTGATGCTCAAATACCTGAAGTTTGGGACTTCTAGGATGTTACTAAATCCCACCTGCCCGTGGTAACAAGCAGACCAGATATGACTCTGCCGAGATACTGATCTGAATCGTTAGGAAGTTAACAGTCATCTCTTCTTCTATTTGTGTTTTAACAGAAGGGCAAGTCTGAAGAACTCCTGAGTGCCCTAGGATGCCAAGACTTTCCTCCCACTTCAGATTGTGAGGACTTACTGGTGGAGTTTCTAGAAGTAGACGACAGTGAGGACCAGCAGCTAATGCCAGCCCACTCAAAAGAACACCCAAGTCAAGGCCTGAAACCCACTCACCTGGATCCTGACAATGACTCTGGCCGAGGCAGTTGTGACAGTCCTTCACTTCTGTCTGAGAAGTGTGAGGAAGCCCGAGCAAATCCTCCTACCTTCCATGCTCCTGAAGTCAGTGAGAAACTAGAGAAGTCAGAAGCCAATGTGACCTGCACCTGGGATCCCCAGGATGTACACTTGGAAGGTAAAATACCCTATTTTCATGCTGGTGGATCTAAATCTTCAACATGGCCTTTAGCCCAGCCATCCAACCACCACAATCTACAATCTTCTTACCATAACATTGCAGATGTGTGTAAGCTGGCTATGGACCCGGTGTGTGCAGCCACCACTTTGTTGGACAAAGCAGAAGAGGATACTCTAAAAGCCACTAAAATCATGGAGACTGGAGGAGAGGAAAGGGCAGACAAGCCAAGGGAGGTGGAAAGCTTCCATTCCAAGACTGACCAAGACACAGCATGGCTGTTGTCCCAGCAGAAAACCCCTTTTCTCTCTGCTAAACCCTTGGATTATGTGGAGATTCATAAGGTCAACAAAGATGGAGCGCTAGCATTGCTCCCCAAACAAAAAGAGAACAACTACAAATCAGAGAAGGCTGGTATTCCAGAAACCAGTAAGGAGTATGCCAAGGTGTCCAGGGTGATGGATAACAACATCCTGGTCTTAGTGCAAGACCCTCGGGCTCAAAATGGAGCTTTGTTGGAAGAAGCAGCCAAGGAGACTCCGCCATCACCTCAACAGTTTCAAGCTGAGAAAAACCTGCCCTGCTTCACGGGGACTCCAAACAACTGCAGACTCCAGATGGGGGGCTTGGATTACCTGGATCCCACGTGTTTTATGCACTCCTTTAACTGATAGGGCAATCATGGAATGATTGATTACAATGTGATTTTTCTTCAGGTAACACTACAAAGTCAATGAAATGCAATCTAGTAGAGAATGTCCAAGATCATGGTTAGACTGATACTATAAAACTTACTTGCTGTTTACTCCTTTCCGTATGCTCCATTTTCCGCCAGTTCCCTTTCTCCAATAGCTGATTCCAGAACAAATCATTTTGTTTCCTAACTGTGATTTGTAGATTTCCTTTTTTGCTATTAGTTACATAAATATGTGATCAGTGAAATAAAAGCACATTGCTTAGTATCTGTGAGGGCCAATGCCAATAGAAAAGGTTCTCATGGTTTGGTATGTGACAGAAAAATGAAATCGTCAAAATTGTTTACCACAGGAAGATAAAGTTATGGAGAATATGCCATGAAAACTTTTTGGAAACCAGTTGCTTAACCCATGCACTCCTCTTGCATTGTATTAATCCTCAAATGGTTAGGATTAACCAAACACAATACACTGAAAGAAAGAATGCATTTCAGAACACCTGAGGAATTGTTTACATAGTTTCTATACCTTACTGCAGATATGCAAGCAAAAATGATGCCTCCAATTTTTTTTCTTAAAATAGTTTGAATATCCCCCAAATTTTACTTCATTCTAAAGCCTCTAAAGAACACAGTTTTGGAAAGTAACGTTTTCTTACACAATAAGCAAATGAATTTCATGTGGGAAATCCACCCAAAATGTTTTCCTGCTTCATGTCAGCATGATGGAAAACTTATTATACACTCTACTTTTCTCTTAGTGAGAAAAAAAAAAAATCCCAAAAGACTAACTTTAATTTAAAAGCAAATCACAGCAGGATACTCATGGGAATACTGCCTTACTGTACATATACAAATTCTACTTTAATACAAACCCATAAGTTAAACAATGTATTTTTGAAGACTATTTTTCTATCACTTAGGTAAAATAAAACACTATTTTCTATCTTCCCAGTACAGCTGTTTACGTACTCAGTGGGTACAGTAGTTTCTGCTGCAAGGTTATAATGAATATTTACAGTACACAGAAGTAGTCCCAATTTGTGGTAATATGCCCTAGCAATCTAAACCCACTGAAGAATAGGAGGTGGATGATAAAGCTAAACTTCCAACGCAGTGTGGTATGGTCTGAGTTTTTGTTTTCTTTATTCAGTTCTAAAACACTTTAAAGACCACTATCAATGACAACTACCCTAGAGTTTTAGGAGTCTCTACAGACCAGAAAGTACTTTTCCTATAAGTTCAGGGCTCCTCCCCTGGGGCTTTTACCCTTCTGCAGATGACTCTTCATAAAACTTACACAGAAAATGAGAGCGTTGACCTCTAGCACGCTGCTTCAGAAGATGGTTTTTTCTTTTGTCTTTTGTTTTTCTGAGCATCTTGGGCAGCAAGAACATTGAAAACAAATCCAGAAGGTACTGATCTCCCTGGAGGAGATCCATTTTCAAACCTTGGCAGAGAAGGAGATGGCACCCACATCAGAAATGTCCACATGAAAATTTAGGAAACAGCAGAGCAGTAGAAACAGCTCCAAAGGCCAGGGTACAGCAATGAGAGCCTGTGCAAGGCAGGTGCCCCTATTGGGGCCCCAACCCTGAATCTCCATTTGAAAGCAAGAGTATTTGTGGCTTCTCTGCTCCTTGCCAGTTTTTCTTTATTTGACATGTTACCTGATGGTACAGGCCCTAAGTGAGCCCACAGCATATTTGTCTTCACACAGAGAACGGGAGCTCACCTGTGATTTACATATTCTACGCCAAATATACTGTGGCGCAGGGGTGCCCTGATGTTTGAAAAGTGAACACACTGCCTGTGCTTCCAAAATTACAAATGGGATAGCTCTGAGATTTTCTTTTCCCAATCTATGAACAGCATCTCGGGAGTGAGGGAAGTATTTTGGAAAACTGTCCAAGCTCATTAGGTCCTCTAGATTGTCACTACTCAAAGTGGTATGAGGAAGAGCATCAGCAGCGTACCCTGGTCCCTGGTTGGAAAAGCAGAGTCTCAGGACCTGCATTCTACTGAATCAGAATCAAAAGTTTACTAAGATTCCCCAGATGATGGAAATGAACTTTAAAGTTTGTGCACCGTTGCCCTTGATGACCATTTCCACTAAAGAATATTCTAGTGCATAAAGACCATCCTTTCTTAGATGGTACAGATAAACTCTGCTTGAATTCTACTTTATAGTGTTCTGAATAACATTGGTAACAAAAGGAAGATGAAATTAAAACACACACACACACACAAAATATATATATATTTATGATTTAAGACTTGCATAAATTGTAGAATGAATAATTAAAGTACACATGACTTCCAAGAGTGTCCGTAACTGTTTTCACTTTAAGAAACATTGGTTTAATAACATATATCTTTAAAGCCAATAATAGCTAAACCTTTCCCGGCCTAGTCCTTTCTTCTTCAACATATGGGGCAGTTATTCATAGTTTGACAATCTAAAAATAACCTATTTTTGACATAAAATTTGGAAGTGTTGAAAAAATATCTCTAAATAACAACAACAAAAATTATTTACTCACTAAGTAAAATCAAGACTATAATAATTCTATGGTCAATTAGTAGTATTTGAATTGAGTCTTTTTCGTGGTCTAGTCTATTTTCTATCAAGTATACAGCTGGCATCGAGATTGGAAGAAGGCCCATTGACAACCTATAATATGCAGATAACACAATGTAACTTTCAGAAAGTAAAGAGCATTTGAAGCACTTACTGATGAATATCAAAGACTGCAGCCTCCAGTGTGCATTACACCTCAGCTTAAAGAAGACAAAAATCCTTACAAATGGACCAATAAGCAACATCATGATAAACAGAGAAAATATGGAAGTTGTCTAGGATTTCATTTTTCTTGAATCCACAATAAACACCCACAGAAGCAGAAATCAAAAAAATTAACTAGCATCGTGCACTGGACAAATGAGTTGCAAAAGACCATTGTAAAGTGTTAAAAAACAAAGATGTCACCTTGAAGACTAAGGTGCACCTGACTCAAGCCATGGTATTTTCAACTGTCTCCTATGTATGCACAAGTTGAACAGTAAATAAGGAAAGTTGAAGATGAATTTGAGCCTTTGAATTATGGTGTTGGTGAAGAATATTTAATGCATCAGGGACTGCCAGAAGGATGAGCAAATCTGTCTGTCTTACAAGAAGTACAGCCAGAATGCTCTTTAAAATGAAGGATAGTGAAACTTCATTTTCCGTTCTTTGGACATGTGAATAGGAGGGACTGGTCCCTGGAATAAGACACCATGCTTAGTAAAGTGAAAAAGATAAAGACCCTCAATGAGGTAGACTGACATGGTGGCAGCCACAATGGGTTCAAACACGGCAAAAATCGTGAGTATGGTGCAGGACTCGGCAGTGTTTCGCTCTGTCTTACGTAAGGTCACTATGAGTTAGAAGCAACACAATGGCACCTAACAACGGCACACACCTGGTCACTTGGAAGGACTCACAATGGGGCTCAAGAGACCTAACTGTTTCCTCAGACAGGTTAATTCGCTGACTTGGCTTCAGTTGCCTCATCTATATAATGGAAGTCTTTAATTAACTGATATCCAAAGTCCTTTTAAACTTCAACTCCTTGATTCCATGACTCACTGAATATTTTCTAGCAAAGATTATTCTAGTCAATCTGTTATATCTTAATTAAGCTTACAAACGATTGCTCTTAATCATGGGAAAACAGTCTTCAGCTCATTACACTTCAACTTTTAAACAATTTTTCCAGTAGGTCTTAACTATTGCATATGCATTTTACAAAGTATGTAGATGTAGATACATAGTGCAAGTATATATGCAAATGAGTATATAGACAGAAGAATCGACATGAAGTAGAAAAGAGACCTACTCAATGAGGTTCTCATTTTGTTTTTGTAATTGTTTTTATGATCTTCTGTTGAATCAAGCCATGGTCATCCCTTGCTGAGCCCATCAGCCTGAAGTCTCTTTTCTTACAGCTGTCTGCAGATTCTGACATTTTCTTTCTCATCATGGACCATTTCCAAGTTGGCAGCCTTCTACTCTGAGTTAGAAAAAGTCATATTTTTGTAAGTAAATGCCTAAATATTCAAGTTTCAAAGTTTATGGAAACTAAGAATAGTCAATGGGTACTTCATGGAAGCTTATGATCCAAATTACAAATGTTGTAACAGACGGGTATAAATCACCCTAATATGAGCACAAGTTAGTAGCAGCCTTGTCATGGACTCTACATACTCCTAAGTGCCTAAGACCAAGCCTGGTAGGTAATTATATACTAAAGACTGTGCTTTAACTGGTTTGGTCCAAAGGGATCAATCCCTTACTGCCTGTACAGGATCAAGATTGATTCCTTGCCCAAATGAATCAGAGAACCCTGTAAGTTAATGAGCAACGAGAGGCCCCCAGGTTCCAGGGAGCAGTTAGTTCCAGGGAGAAAATCTGGTCTTTCAAAAGGCTGCCAACTATGCCCATCCCTTGCAGAAAGATTTGGCCTTGCCTTTTGTAACTTTCCTATCTCCTAAGAGTAAACATGAAAGAGATTCGTACACAGTTTACAAAGTGCCTTTCTTTACTTTTCTAAAAACATTTTCTTTTTGCAAGAAAAGTATATTGACTGGAGAGTCAAATTTATGTCATCTGGTTTAATTGCTTATGTAAATGATGGAGAGACAAAGTGAAGTAACCAAAAAGAGAATGACAAAATGGTCCAAGGACCAACCAGCAATTGTTCAGCAGATTTTTATTTGTTTAACTGAGTGTAACCATAGAGCTGTGTGAAAACTCAGACTTGACTTCTTTGATAATAAATTAGTTCTGGATAGGGTTTGGGGAAATGCTTGATACCCTATGATACAAGATTCTCAATTTAAAAAACACTCTTCTGGATGTCTTTGAAGAACATATCTGAGTCTGAAAAGTAAAACACATGAACCTTGGAACTTTACACACAGACAGACAATATAAAT